CTATTTTCCTGTTTGACACTGTAAAGATGCTTTAACACAACCAGTATTGTATAAAGCACTATGTAAATAAAGGTGACCTGACCTGACCTATACAGCATTCCATAATGGGTAGCACTTAATTTCACAGTTAAAGGATATTTCGCATGTACATCCTATTTACTTACACACATACCTATATATTCATTACAATAACTGGGTAATAACCAGGTACTAACTCTGAACCTACTCCTAAACCTAACTTAATCCATGTAGTTACATATACTACCAGTACTTTCTTAGGTAAATACATTGTAAGTACAGGTTAGTTCACGTACTATAAAATAAAGTGCAACCCCATAATGTATATTTTATCCATCTCAGCTTTGATGAATCTACTTGAGTATCAAACATTTCAAGTAACTTTGGTATACTTGTAAGATTTTTTTCTGCTTACATAACCGTCAGATCGTCTGTCACATGCTGTGCTCCTCTACAGTTATGCCACACAATGTAGGTCGGGTCAAGGCCATCAGCTGAGGTTTAGTATTAAACACCGTCATGCCCTAGATTACAACACACTTACAGTAACTGTCAACAGTCGTGCATAATGTCAGTATCACATGGATGCATTTATGTCTTCTGAATTCATTTATTCCGCATGCATCCATGTGAATCAAATCCATTGAACAAGCAAAAAGGCTGTTATATATTTTTTTTTTTTTACTTTTTGTCTTTTTTTTCAATTTCAAACACTATATGGTAAACAGGGGGATCAGAGTTGGTTAGGAATTTAAAAGCTGCACCACTTTAAGGACAAAGGTTGCCTTCCTCCTTTGTGTTCTGCAGGGGAGCCACTCAAAAACAGAAAACAGGACAAGTGAAGGGTCCTGCCAGCCAACCTCAGCATTTGCTGTTCATTTGCTGTTCACTTAAAAAGCCCTGAAAAGAAGGCCAATAATTTTTTTGCATACTTTAACTGTGCAATCTAGACGACTTCTATTTTGAAGACTGATCAAATTAAACCAGCAGACAATGGAAAATATAGTGACACTTTCAATATAGGAGAAGTAGAACATCGCGAGAATCTTCTTACTAACTCCAAACGAGTTGATCTTACTGCCGCTGCTGGCATTTCCGTATCTCCTCTGCGTTGGAAGTAAATTTCAACAAATTGTCAAAAATTGGACCCTGGTACTTGCACTCCTCATCAATCTCAATAGGGTTTCTGTGAATGTCTGTAATACATTCAATATCTGTAATAAACACTTTTGCATCATCAACCCCTCTGCCTGTGCAATACGCAAACTGTCGTGGATCCAACTGTGGGTCAATTTCTTTAGTCATATGATTTTTAATAATCCTCTTCATTGCCTTCATCACAAGGGAGGTGAGAGCAACACGCCTGAAGTCATTCAGGACTTTAGTGGAGCTATTTTTTTTTTTCTTTTTTTTTTTGGTATAAGAATAACTGGAATGTTTCCACAGCTGAGGAACCGCACTGCAGGTTTCTATATGTTCTGTATATATATAACTGCAGGATATATACATATATATGTATGTAACTGCACAAAGCACATAGATTACCATTTTGTCAGTGTATAAACACACACACACAAACATGTACACACATATACATATAAATAATATAACATATTATTTAACATATTTTAAAAAATCAATAAATGTCTATTCTCAAATTAATTATTTTAAAGCAGAATTTATCATTTCAATTTAACATTTTGTTTTATTTTTTGCATTGAAATGTAAAGAATATAACTTTATTTGATATAATAATAGTAAAAGTAATAATAATAGTAATTTTACATTTTATAATGATATGCTTAGATATGACACAGGATTTTCTTTCAGCACTGCCCTTAATTTTAAGTTTTATTTTCTGCCTTACAATGTTTGGGCACCTGTGTTTTAAAGAATATCACATTTGTAAGGCTTTATTAAAGTCCAAATAAAATGGAATATTGGCTTTCTTAATGCATATCCTGGCTTTATTGCTGGTTACCCTGTATCATATGCAAATATGCAATATTATGGGAGTGAAGTGGGATGTGCTTGCTATTTCATGTTGATCCGTTATCGCAAATGTACTACTATCTGCATTATTGCACTTATTACCCTTATTACAACTTACCAATTAAGTAATGAATTATCTGGAACATTATATTAAGTTATGTTATCACATGGGGGAAAAAAACACACAGAACGTTACCTAACTACAGAACAGACATACAGTCGTGGTCAGAATTGTTGGTACCCTTGGTAAATATGATCAAAAAAGGCTGCGAGAATAAATCTGCATTGTTTATCCATTTGATCTTTCATTCAAAAAAAAAAAATCTACATTTTAGTTGAAGTTAAAAAAAAATGAAAAGGGGGGGTCGGTCACATTGTGAAATAAATCATCATCATCAGTCCCATGACCTGATGTGGTCGTCGGGACGCTGCGCTGTTGAATATCTGACCAGGTCCCTCCACTTGTCTCGGTCATGTGCTAGTGCCCGCGTCTCTGCAAAGCTTTTCATGGTCCATTCTGTAATGTAGTCAGCCCACTTCTTTCTCTGTCTGCCTCGCCTTCTGCCACCTGGGACGCTACCTTGGAGGATGGTTGTGGACAGGTTTTTGGCTCTTACGACATGTCTGTACCATTTCAGCTTTTTCTTTCTAACTGCATTGAGGAGGTCTTCATACTGGCCTACTTCGCGCCTGATGATGTTCCTCACTGTTTCATTTGTGATGTGGTCCTTGTAAGAGATGCATTTCTTTCTCTGTCTGCCTCGCCTTCTGCCACCTGGGACGCTACCTTGGAGGATGGTTGTGGACAGGTTTTTGGCTCTTACGACATGTCTGTACCATTTCAGCTTTTTCTTTCTAACTGCATTGAGGAGGTCTTCATACTGGCCTACTTCGCGCCTGATGATGTTCCTCACTGTTTCATTTGTGATGTGGTCCTTGTAAGAGATGCCAAGGACTGTTTTATAGCATCTAATTTCAAGTGCCTGGATTCTTCGTTGCAACTCTGCTGTGAGGGTCCAGGACTCACAGGCATATAAGAAGACCTAGAGGACAAGTGCATGCAGAAGTCTGAATTTTGTTTTTAGAGAGATATTTTTATCTCTCCATACAGGTTTCAGCTTTGACATAGCTGCTGTTGTTTGTGCTGTTCTTGCTAAAACTTCTGTTTTTGACCCCTCTTCACTGATGATAGCGCCCAAATATTTGAAAAGACTCACCATTTCCAGTTCTTGTCTTCTGACTTCAATCTTGGTAGTGATCTGCTTGTCACTATTTGTCATCAACTTTGTCTTTTCAGCGCTAATCTCCATGCCAAACCTAGAAGATGCTTCATCCAGGTTTTTCACTAAGGTGGCCAGCTCAGCTTCACTACAAGCTAGTCCATCAATGTCGTCTGCAAATCGGAGATTGGTGATGTTTCGTCCTCCAATGCTGACTGTGCCACCGTGGTTTTCTAGGGACTCCTTCATGATGCGCTCTAAGTATATGTTAAAGAGTATGGGCGACCGAAGGCAACCTTGCCGTACACTCACTGTTGTGCGGAACCACTGTCCCATAGAGCCCAGGGTGACTACTGCACTTCTGGCCTTAGCATACAGCTGTCTGATGGTGTTGGTTAGCTTTTGTCCCATGTTGCACTTCATCATTGTTGCCCATAAAGCATCATGCCAGACTCTGTCAAAAGCCTTTTTGAAATCTATGAAGACATGATACAGGTCTTGTTGTTGTTGTGAGTAATTTTCACACAGGACTCTGAGATTGAATAGTTGTTCTGCGGTACTTCTCCCTCTGCAAAAACCAGCCTGTTCTTCAGCAATAATTTATTTTGCTTGAGGCTTTAGTCTGTTCAAGATGATCTTAAGCATCACTTTACTAGCGTGGCTGATCAGACTGATAGTTCTGTAGTTCTGGCAAGCTGAAGCTGAAGATTGCCTTTCTTGGGTAGGGTTATAATTAGTGATTGGGTCCTAGATCTGCCAGATCTTGTTGCAGATTTTTGTTTATATCTCTGTCACTGGATCCCCTCCATTCTTTATGAGTTCAGCTGGGATGTTGTCTTCCAGCTGCCTTCCCACTCTTCATGGGGAATGGGGAATGGGGAAGTTGTCATCATTTGAGGACTCTGTTACTTCTAGCACTTCTGGGTCTCCTTTGGTCTGATGGTTATAGAGTTCTTGAAAGTACTCAGTCCATCTGCCTGTAATGTACCTTGCTTCTGTGAGGCATTCCCCGATTTTACCTAGTATGGTACTGTTTTTTGATTGTTTTTGTTTGTTTAGGTCTTTCACAATTTGGAATGCTTTTCTGCTGTTGTTCTTTTTCCAACTATTCTCTGTTTCTGTGCACTGCTGTCCTATCCAGTCTTCTTTAGCCTTCTTCATGTTTTTTCTGATCTTTTTATTGATTTCATGGTATTCTGCTGCCCCAGTTGTGTGCCTACAGTTTTTGAGATCTCTCCGGGTGTCACAGATTTCGAGAATCTTTTCTGTAACCCAAGGTTTATTCTTTGAGTGATGGAGGCCAATGATGTCTTTGTCAGTTTCTCTCATGACTGTGTTGAAGGTAGTTGTCATAGCTTCAACGACTTCATCAATCATTAAGAGTGCAAATTTTCCTCCAATTGTGGCTCGAAAGGACTCACAGATGTTTGGGTCAGTCAGTCGTTCAAGGTTTAACTTGATCCTGCTGTTCTTTGGCTTAATTATTTTCTTCAACCTCACTCGGAAGTTCATTATCACCAGATCGTGGTCACTCCCAACATCAGCCCCTGGGAATGTCCTTGTTTTTGCTCTGTTGATGCCAGATCAGAAACAGTTTTGGACCAGTATATAGTCAATCTGGTTGTGATGGGCTCCATCAGGTGCGTGCCATGTCCAGCGTCGGGAAGCTTTATGTTCACCTAGGGTAATGGCTAGTACCAGGCTGTTGTAACTGGCAAACTCCAGCAGTCATCTTCCTCTTTCGTTAGTAGTTTCATTGCAAGGTCCACAATGACTTTCAGTGCCTCTGCCTACTTTTGCATTCCACTCTCCTTGGATGATGAGGGTATCTGTCTTGCTGACCGTGTTTATGATATTCTGGAGCCGTGTGTAGAACTTCTCTATTTCTTCATCACCATGATCACTTGTTGGGGCATAGACTTGAATAATTGTGATATTGAAGAGGGGTGCTTTCAGTCTGAAGGAAATGAGTCTGCTAGAAATAGGGCGGCATTCAAGCACAGATCCCTTGATGGCTTTATTGATCAGGAAGCCTACTCCATATATGGATTTGTCAAACTCTCCACTATAATAGAGTACATGTCCATCCTCGGTTTGATGTTCTCCTATACCCTTCTGTCTGACTTCACAGAGTCCCACAATGTGCCACGTGTATTTACTAAGCTCATGTGTCAACTCCTGGAATCTTCCTAGCTGTGCCAATGTTCTGATGTTCCAAGTCGTGATGGCAATGTTGTCTCTAGCTCTAATCTTCTTAGAGGATCCATCAGTAGCACACTTGTCACCTCCGTCCTAATGGACAACGGTAGGTGCGGCCCTTGTTGACCCGGGCGAGGACCGATCCGGTATGGTACTCGGAAAACTGTGCAACATGTTCATCGTGTCTTGGGCAAAATTCACCTGGCGGAGCCCATCCCTCTCCAGGCCAAGGAGCTGCCATAAAGGGATGTAATACATCATCCAACTGCCTCCAGATTGCTTTCAAGGTTTACTCCCTTAGCCTTTGGCTATCAAAAGCCAACCTGCAAGGCAGCAGGAGACTCGTGGAGGGCGGGAGCATCCACTTCCCGTGCAGATGAAGCATCTGCACACTGCCCATGTGAAATAAATAGTTTTCTCTAATACACAATGGCCACAATTATTGGTAGGAAATATATCTCTGAAGTATATTCCAATTCATATTTAAAATTTTTAGCACACCAGGGTGATTATAAACATGAAATTATCCAGCCATTGCTTCCTGTTTCATGGGAATATAAATATGAGGAACAAAAAGGCCAAATTCCCTTAATCATCCATCACAATTTGAAAGTATTTTGTTTAAATAATCATGTTTCTTAATAGTTTTGTCATGTTTGTTATCAGTTATGTACATGTAGGTCTATGTTACATCTTCTGTTGTTTAATGAATGTTTATTGCATTATATAAGTGTTGTGTGTTACCATGATGGTGTTTAGTGTTTGCGTGAATGACTCTGTGCACCTTCAATATATTAGTATTTACTTCAGCTTCTGGAAAAGCTACTTGTAATTAATTGATTATTCATATTGCTGTCTCTTTTACCACCTGCATTATTATGGTGGTTGTCAGTTTATGTTAAAGATACAAAACAGATTTTAGTAGCATTTTAGTAGCAGATTTTAGTATTTTAGTGCATTGTTGAATTTACTAGTTTAGACTCAAATTTTCTTGTTTCTAAATTACAGTTTTATAAGTTTACAGTTTGTTCTGTAAATGTTTTTACAGTTTTTATGCATTTTTTGTATAATTATTCTGGTAACCACAGCTTCCAAAATTATTTTGTAAAAACTACAGATTTTTTTTTTTTTACAGTGTTCTTATTCTTCAATGAAAGGTTAAATTTTGGAACATTTTTTAAATAAAAGATCAATAGGATTAACAATGCATATTTATTTTCACAGACTTTTTTTGGTCATATTTACCAAGGGTACCAACAATTCCGTTCTGACCATGACTATAGCTAGCATATGTTTAGTTTAGTGTCTTTATACACAGTATTTGAGCCCATAATGCAGTGATTGAATTGAAAATGATTGTGATCAAATCTGTTATTGTATCGTGATCAACTGTTCATGTGCAGTCAGTCGTGTGTGTGCGTGTGCAGATGCTCATCACGCTCTGTGCAGTCATCACACCGCAGGGTTTCAAAGGTCAGAGGTGGCATGGCTATAAAAACCATCCTTACGTGTTGGACTTTGAAGTGCATTTGCTTATCAGTTAATTAGTAACTCGACTTGATAGCTTAACTGCAGTTTAAAGCCTCATATGCTGTAAAGAGCTTTATAACACTTTTATTTAAAACATACATTTAAATTTTGTAGTGTTATGTACAAACACATGAGTAAGCTGCCTGGGAAATAGTTGCTTGGGAACACTTTGAACTTGTTTTTATGTGTAATATATAAAATATGTCACAACTTGAGGTACATTTTGTTATCTGTATTTATCTCTGGCATTTATTTCCTGTCACAGTGCAAAAACTAATTATTTCAGCGTTGATGTTTGTGACAGATTTATTCCAGTAGTATTTTGGCAGTGCTTTGACTATGTAATATCAAATATTTGGAGGAATGTTCTTGGAGGATTTTCTCTGGTCTGTTTTTGGTGATGTTATGTCAGTAGCAAGCAACAACAAAAATGTAATTGGTTGTGTTTATTAAAAATGAATATAATGTGTTGTAATCATGTGGAATGACATCTCAGAAGAAGGCAAGCTGCACTCACATTTGTGTAGCACAATGAAGTACAGACGACTGGTTCCTCATAAATGTACCCCATATCAGGCCAGACATCACCAGTTACTGTCACCCAAAGTTACTGTTCCAGAGATATCACAATTTTCTGATACTGGTACTGCTGTTTTTGCTGGATTTCTTTTTATTTTTAATTATTATTATTATTATTATTACTACTATTATTATTAGCTAGTGTTGTTGTAAATGTTCTAATTGATACGTAGTGAAAAATGCTTAGGTACACTCTTAAAAATAATATTTTTTTATTGACATTAATGGTTGCATGCGGAATCTTTAACAGTCATGGAATCTTGTGGAAAAAATGTTCTTCAGAATATTACAATGTTTATAACACTAAGAAAAAATGGTTGGTAACACTTTCTATGAAGCCCGTATTTATAATATATTATAAGGGTATTCTTAAGGCATTATAATGAATGCATTATAAAAAAACTTATAAGATGTTGTGTCATCTCATAAATAATCATAACAACAATTATAATACATTGTAGTACTTACTCATTTGTGGTTATAAATTTTAAGAGTATGATTATTTATAACACATAATTAATACCATATTAAATCCACATATCCTCATATCGTGACTGTCACGGTTATACTGCTGTGTTGGAGCGAGGAACGAGGAGAACATAGGAGAATACAGTAAACAGTCTTTAATAAACCACAGGAAGACTCACAGGCAGGGACACACACGCAGCAAGGGGAATAGACATATAACACCAGACAAAGGAACAAAGGGACTGAACACTCTTTTAAATACATGACTAACGAGGGACACATGAAATCAATGAACATAATCAAACACAGGATAAACTGGGTCACGGGGAGAACATGGAGAGCAAAACACAACACAGGAACACAAGGACAGTCCATGGGCGTGACATTACCTCCCCCTCCCGGAAGGTGCGTCCACGCGCCTCATAACTTCCAACGGGGAGGAGGGGTGGGCGCTCTGGAGGCCTCTAGGGACAGGCTTACATGGGACGGACGGCCTCCAGGGCGGTACCTGTTCCGGGACCCATGGCGGATCAGGCAGTTCAGGGTTGGCCTTGGCCTCTGCACTCGGCCCGGCCTCTACGGCCAGAGCCCTATGGCCCCCCCCCAAAAAAAAATTCCTTGGGGGAAATTTCTGGTTCTGAGGCCTTCCATGGGCCTGACATAGGAGCAGCGGCCCTCCCTGGGCTTGACTCGGGAAAAGGGGCCCTCTCTGGACTGGACTTGGGAACAGGAGCCCTCTCTGGGCTGGACTTGGGAAAAGAGTCTCTTTCTGGGCTGGACGTGGGAACTGCAGCCGTCTCTGAGCTGGACGTGGGAACGGGAGTCCTCCCTGGGCTGGACGTGGGAACAGGAGCCCTTCCTGGGCTGGACGTGGGAACAGAAGCCCTCTCTGGGCTTAACTTGGGAACAGAAGCCCTCTCTGGGCTTAACATGGGAACAGGAGCCCTTCCTGGGCTGGACATGGGAACAGAAGCCCTCTCTGGGCTTAACTTGGGAACAGGAGCCCTCTCTGGGCTTAACTTGCGAACAGAAGCCCTCTCTGGGCTTAATATGGGAACAGGAGCCCTTCCTGGGCTGGACGTGGGAACAGAAGCCCTCTCTGGGCTTAACTTGGGAACAGGAGCCCTCTCTGGGCTTAACTTGGGAATAGGGGCTGGAGCCAACACTGGAGCGGACTCAGAGGCTGGAGCCGACACTTGAGCGGACTCAGGGGCTGGAGCCGACACTTGAGCGCACTCAGGGGCTGGAGCCGACACTTGAGCGGACTCAGGGGCTGGAGCCGACACTTGAGCGGACTCAGGGGCTGGAGCCGACACTTGAGCGGACTCAGGGGCTGGAGCCGACACTTGAGCGGACTCAGGGGCTGGAGCTAACAGTATTTTTCTCTTCATATTCCTCCTCTGGTTTGGGGATAAGGAGCAGGCTGCTGTCAGCTGAGGGCTTGGGAGGGAATTTGCCGGCGGGCTTGAAAATGGAACGGCCGGCGGGCTTAACAATGAGCGAACACTACAAAAGGAAGATCCTTGCGGGCTAGGGCGGCGAATTTCGCGGCGGTTCCATGATCACACAGGGAACGGGAAAAGAAAAACTTTCAAAAACGAAAACCAAAATGGGGAGAAGGGGCGCCGCTTACTGTTCGGTCCGGTGTTCTGTCACGGTTATGCTGCTGTGTTGGAACGAGGAGAACGTCTTTAATAATCCACAGGAAGACTCACAGGCAGGAACACACACGCAGCACGGGGAACAGACGTACAACACCGGACAAAGGAACAAAGGGACTGAACACTCTTTTAAATACATGACTAACAATGGACACGTGAAATCAATGAACATATTCAAACACGGGAGAAACTGGGTCACGGGGAGAACATGGGGAGCAAAACACAACACAGGAACACAAGGACAGTCCATGGGCGTGACAGTGACATTGTTTATTTAAGATCTGCACAGTATCTTACTACATCTTGTGAGTGGCTAGGAGTGGTTGAGTGTTTTTGAGTGTTTCTTGTGAGGTTAATGTTAATTTTACTGTGAGCTAGTTTAAGATCAGTTGTAATAATTTCAAATGAAAAAAATGCAATGTGTTTTTTTTTTTTTTTTGATATTACATTACATTTATTTTGATGGTCCCCTTAGTCTACTGACTATAAGAAACTGTGCAACTACATGACAACTAACACTCATTTAGAGTATTAGTAGACTTGGGTTAAGGTTAGGGTTGGTAGAATAAGTTGACGTACTTGCAAAGTTGCTAATAGACAGTTGAATGTCTGTTGGGGAACCATCAAAATAAAGTGTTAGCAGAAATTTAGCAGGCATACTACTAATACTCCAATGACTGCTAGTTGACATGTAGTTGCAAAGTTACTTATCAACAATTGTCTAAACGGTACCATCAAAATAACCATACTGATATTACAATAAAAATTGTTCAAAGCAAATGTGTACACATTTGTCTGATCTGATATCTGATCTTATGGCTGTTTGAGAAAAAATATATATTATTATTATTATTATTTATAAGTGGTC